ATGTAAAGATCTAATGGCCATTAATCATCAAAGTTATGTAAAAAAGAACACCTTTTTCTTGCCTTTTATACGGTATGAACTGCTCTGCGTCTGATTCATAACAATGTACGATGTGGAAATAAGTGGAGATTTGAGCATAAATCATAAATCAGCTTCAGTGCATGAACCCAGCCTACCAGCACCTCGTTTACATATAATTTACATGAAGCACACACTAATTCATGCAGATGTTTCAGTAGCCAGCCAATAAAACGGCAGTGTTTGGCATGAAAGCTAATGGCTGTGCTCATGGGTGGAGTTTGATGTCCAGCAGTGAGTGCACTCCTCCCCTGCTGACCAAACTTAATAGTATTAAAATGAAAACAACTGGAAAAAATAAAATGTGAAATAAAACAAAATACTGAGTGTTGTTAACATAGTAGAGTGATTGTTTAGTGTAATTAATTCCCTAAAATAAACGCTGTATTATTGCAGTGTATGACCGAAGCTGTGTTTCTGAGTCAGTAGTATGAAACAAAAGCACAGTGTAATGTGTCTTTAAATGGAACATGAAATAGTTGCAGCACTTGTTTACATCAATATGCATGTAAAGTAAGCACATGCACTTTTGTACCGGACTGTCATGCACACAAATTAGTATTATTGATATTTTCTATTGTTGTTCTTATTTTTGCAATTACAGATGATGTTGATAATAGTTTTGGTTAATTAGCCACATATCCAGCATTTATGCCCAAATTTACATGCACTCCTACCAGATATGAGTACAGATATACCAAGATGAACGTGATGAATAACAAAACCGTCCATGAATTTCTGTGTGCTCATCTTACGGTCAGATGTGACCATAAGCATCTTTAATGAACAAGAACCAAAGTAAGAAAAGTGAAGCAACTGAATATATGGAGGTGATGGAAAGTTAATTAACAGATAATTAGCGGGATTAACACATAGGTGCTAGTAAGTTATCACGTTACTTCTTTATATGAAGAAAAATACTTATTAATTAACAATGTGAGTGGATTAACTTATTAATTAACAACTGGAATCTGAGTCAATAATTGCCGAGACCTGTGTGTCTTATCTAAATGGAAAACATCCATCCATCCATCCATCCAGCTAGCTACCATTACTCATGTAAAAAAGGTCAAACAAAACTGAAGCGTGATAAATTTGAAGTTAAGAATATTGTGACAGCACTTTGTGCTGGTTATCAGAGTTTCAGTTTCCCAAACACTTTAGCCAACTGCGCTAATGTCATTCCTCCTAATAAACAGACACACGTTCAGCTCAGCCCCCACCTCATTCACCAACATCACTGTAATATTTCATTTCAGTTTTCATCAACATTAACACTCGAAGGTAATAAGAGGGCAGGGTGGAGGTTGTGTCTGCAGTGTCTGGGATTTTTAAACACTGTTAGAAAAAAAAAACAGTTTTCAATGTAGATAAATGTAACTTCATTATGCTATTAATAGTGAACTATGCTGCCTGTCACTGCATAAAATGATGGTTAAAACTGAAGTTAAGATAGTTCTGCTGTTGTCTTAAAGTTAAGACAGAATTTAGGGAATTTTGTTTAGTTAGGATGTTTCTGTAATACTGTTTTCTTATCTGAAGTTAGGATAAGATTAAGAACTAAGCAACTGTTGCTCCGTAATAGCTTCTGTCCTACATTCAGTCCTAACTGAAGCTGTCATGGTGACTAAACAGATAAGATTTCAGACTTAAGAAGTTTCCGTAACACGGCTCCTGGTCACAATGCAGCTCTAACTCTATTCCGTGTAACAAAACTCTCCACAGCAATTAACAACAACACTTTGAATAACAGGCATGATGTTAACTCACCAAAGTGTTAGCAGTAATATATCACTATATTAGCTGAGCAACACTTATTCTGGAGATGCAGCTAGCAGTGTCACTTTTCTAATATTATTTTAAACAATCCTGAAAAATTACAAGCTCAAATTTTCACATTTTCCAACTTCAAACATCTCCCATCGGTAATGCTGGATGTCATACCTAATTTTCATTGTATAGAACGTCCACAGGTCTTGCTGTATTTTAAGTGTTCCTTACAGTGTATGGGGGTTGCCAAGTCCAGCAACAGATCAAGGTTTGGCAAAAAGGTGCCCACCAGAAGCTGAAAAAAGGTTATCAATTTCTCCAACAACAGCAATTTCAAACTAACCCAGTTTGGTGGGAAAGCTGCAAACCACAACTCTGATGATGGGTGGATGTGCTGTACCAAACACTCAACAGCAGAACCAATAAAAGTAGAAGTGCATGCTTTTACTTAACCACTGCCTGCATGTCCTGATGATATCATGTTTGTGTGACATGAAGAACTAACATAGTAGTATAAATCTCAGATTTTTATGAAACCAAAAATAACAAAAACAGACATCTTAAGAGATACCACAAATATTCAAAAGGGGATAGAAATGGGGATGGTTGTTTTTTGTTGTTGTTTTGACTCGAATCCCCTCACTTCAATAGCCTACAGAGATCTTTAGCCATTTCTTTAGCCAAGTCAATAATAAAAATCGCCAGGACCTGTGTTTCTTATGTAAATGGAAAACATCCATCCATCCATCCATGCATCCATCCATTGTTTTGACTCGAATCCCCTCACATCCCTTCTCATATCTAGCCCTGATTGTAACCCTCCAGCTAAGTGGCATTAGGCATGGTGACCTTGGCCTCATGTGGCTGCTCCAGAGTGTCCCATTCTATTAGCAATGCCTTTCAAGGCCATTATACAAGCTGTGTGGGCATCTGATCACCTGTGTCAGCAATGAATGTGCTTTTAAGTAGCTGAATTCACTAATTTGAAGAGGTGTCTGGATACATTTGGACACCTCTGCAACTCTCTCTCTTTCTGTCTCTGTCTCTCTTCCATCTGCTGTGTGGCTGATTGAGCTGTCTTCTCCAGAGACACTCAGACTGAACGAGCCTCAGACACATTCATTCAAAATGAGCTAATTGCAATGAGCTATAAAACTCTCCTGCCTTATCACAGCCATCCCAAACACCTTCAGACCCACACCGCACCTCAGGCAGAGCGCAAGAGCAGACCAGAAGCACATCTGTAGGGTTCCCACTTAATCACCTCATTATTTCGTGGCTTTTCAATCATGACAGGTGCACCAGAGAAGCAGACCTATAATGACATTTTATACATAATGCAGTTTAATGACTCACCTTCACTTAACCCCTTAAAACCCAGTGGCCTGGAAGTTGGGCCTGCATTTCAATTCCTTACAAATAGCTTCCCATATAATATCTAAGGCATTCTGATATGCCTGTAGTCCAAAGGGTTACTTTGTAATTTTACATTATAATGACTTCAATAACCTACAGAGATCTTCAGCCATTTCTTTAAAAAAAAAAGGAAAAAGCATCTAACCACCTGAGTCAATAATGAAAATTGCCGGGACCTGTGTGTCTTATGTAAATGAAAAAAATCCATCTATCCATCCATCCATGCATCCATCCATCTTCTAAACTGCTTATCCTCCTGGGTCACAGGGAGTGCTGGAGCCTATCCCAGTGGTCATTGGGCGGAAGGCAGGAAACACCCTGGACAGGCTGCCAGTCCATCACAGGGCAACAGAAAACATATTTAACATAATTTGATAGAAAATTACCTTTGAAAATTGCTTCACCCTTTGCCTACATTACAGCTTAAGTTCTTTTTGTGAAACTTGCTTTCAGTTTTTAAAGAAATATGCAAATTATTCAACACCTTCAAGGTTCAGTCCACTGATTCAAAAACACCAGTAATATCCTTGCTTGGCTGTCTCAGTGATGTGCTTGGGGTCGTTATCTTGCTGTAGAAATAATTTCCTCCCAATCAAATGTTTTAGAATGTAATGCATGATGTATTTAAATTTGTTTGTACTATGAGCATTGATGAAGACAAAAATAAATGATCATCTCTAGATGTTCTTATACATCCCTCAACATGCACTGATCCTCCACCATGCTTGACTGAGGGTTGTAGGCCTGATTTAAAGATGTCTTTCTTTGCTTTGGTGGTGTACACAGTGCCTGCTTTTGCTGGATCTTGATTTAGACTCACCAGTCCATAAAACCTTCCTCTACATCACAGATGTCCACTTATTTCTGGCAGAACTTGGCACATTAATAATAATTTTCCATACAATAAAAGTGTAGTTCTAAAAATTATAAACACCAAAAGGTGCTGTTTTGATGTTTTAGTTAATATTCCAGGTATTATTCTGGGAACAAGATTAAGTTCATATTAGTAGATGATTAATAATATAACAAACAATAGATATTTTAACTAATTTATTTATTTGTTTGTTTATTTTATTGTGGAGAAATCATCACCACTATTGCAACATGATGAATTCTTAAAATTTATTTTATGATAATGTTATTCATCGTTCTACAGCTCAGTTTATTATTCTGGACAGACACACACACATTTTCTAAGCCGCTGTTAGCCGGAGACTATCCCAGCAGTTATTGGGTGGAAGGCACCGTGGACAGGTCACCAGTCTCATTCTGGACACATCTAATGTTTATTTATTTTTATTAATTTTTTTGTTACATCTTTCTAGCTTCCTATTATTTTTTGAACCTATGAAAGTACAATAGTGCACTAGCATAACATTAAGAATCATTATACACATTTATCTCCAAACAAATTGGTTTTATATCATTGGAAACATTAATTCCAAACTTTTGTGTAGTAGTTTATGCATCTGTCATAACACACTGTTCAATATCTGGTCCACTTTATTGAAATATTTTTCTATGCAAGTTATGTCAATGATAATATCCATTTTTTGAGTGATTTAAAAAAAAGGTTAAAAGAGATTTTTGACCAAATTGTGAAGTGCTGGACAACTGAGAATTCTGTGAAACTGTGTTAGAGCTGCATGTACTACTGTGCTATATATTGCATGTACTTGCACTCATACAACTTGTTAGAAGAGGTTTCCCCACAGACATCCAGTCACAATATCAAATTCACTTTGTATGAAATACATTTTATTCAGGTAGCATGCTAAGCAGTAAAGTTCAGTTGTGTAATACCCTTAGATTATGTCATATTGACAACAAGGCAGACAGGGCAGATATAAAATGTACTGGCAGATCTAACTGGCTCTTTATTGAGTTATGGCACATACAGGACACATACTGTCCCAATGCATTTACTGACCCAGTACATAAATGTATAAAATTATTTTACCTGCACATTGCTGTAAACGTCATACTGTATCATTTCAATAAATCTTACAAATAGAAAAGCATGATGTTACAAAAGTTATCTCAAAAATTAAAAAGGGATTTATTTGAGGATCAGAAGGAGCTCTCCATCTCTACTGTGTTGCTGTCTTTGGTGTTAATGTCACTGACACTGTTAGCAGTTTTGCCTTTCAGTCCATTGCCGATCTCTACCTGTCCTGGTTTAACAGCAAGAACATCCTCCATCTCTTTATCAGGCATCTGGGAGATTTTATTAATCTTAGAAAAGCTCTGGCTGATCTCCACAAATGTCTTGTTTTTGGTCTCCGGGAGGACAATGAGGAGGTAGATGGCTCCGAGGACACACACCACCACGAAGACCATGAAGGCGTAAGTCTGGAGTGCATTCTGCAGAAACACAGACAGGAACACGTCTCATTTGTGCATAAAAATGTCATTTATAAAAGTTACACTACAGGCAGCACGTTATTTCACAGTCAGGTCAAGTAACACAACACTTCTGATAGGCTTCTATTATTAGTCATTGGATAATCTGAATGCTTCCGTCTAATGATTAGGATCTCTGTGCTTACTGAGCCTTTAGCTCCAGTTTCAGGTGTATACTAAATGCATTCTGCCCACATATTATGGACAAACTGGCGTACAAGCCTAAATGTGCAGTTTACAGGCCGTAAACTGTAATGTGCCTCTCTTGCACATGGATATGCAATTAAAGGAAAACATAGGGGGATCACACAGTAAATGGGTGGAGATATTACGCATGACATGTTCTCCTCAACTTCAGATGTCTACGTCAGTAAGTATTAGCATCAAACCTCTGCCCACTTTACCCATTGCCATGTTCACTGACCACTGAGTGCAACTTTATGAGAAGAGCGATAAACCATTGTAAAACCAGTGTGGAACCCTTAAGGCCTTCTAGGCCTTCAGACAAGTAACCTAATGACTTTTGCAAAATTGAAAAAGATACATAAAGGTCATTTTTAGTTCTTCAGTGAAGCAGTCCCTGTAAAACTGCTACATGGTAGAATAACATGTTAATATGAGTCTTTTAAGCCTCAGATAAAACATGGAATGTGTTTTACAAGCTTCAAATGTGCTAATCTAGAACTGCCAGGAAATGCTTATGAGACTTGGTGTAAGGATAAGCAGGGGTTACACTACATGACCGTTACTCTGGTTTTAGCCTTGATTCTCCATCTGGTTGAGTCTGTGCTGGTTGGCTCTAGTCTGCAGGAGAAGTCAACAGTTGGGAGAGAAAATCGAGTAGTGTGAGAGGTGCGCAGACTCAGATTTTTAGCCTCCTGATCTATATACATATAGTCATTGTCCAAAGAAAAACAAGTAAATCCAAAAAGGTGGTGCTACAGGAGGGGGCAGAACAGTTCTTTATTTCAATTAAAGTTCCAGCTATTTTGGAATTTCTATTGGTCCATTTGTCTTGAAATTTTCATACAATGTAAAGGACAGCTGCCACATTCAGATGATGTAGAAAAATGAGAATCGACAAAAATGGAAAAACATGTTTTTATTGGAAAGTGACAATATGTAGTTTTATGACTATTGGGTGAGCATTTAGTGCCATCACAAAATCTGCCTATTCTGTGCTGTGTATGTGGTTATGAAACTTTGTTATGTGTGTGTGTGTGTGTGTGTGGTTGTGTAACACTTCTGTATCTTGTGGGTGTTTAGATATAACACACTCATGTTTACTGTCTGGCAGGAGCAAGAGAGACAGACGGCCCTGAGGACAGCGGTCAAGAGACATCACACACACACACACACACACACACACACACACACACACACACATCCGTTCTATATACTATATATAGCCACTATGACTCAAGGCCTGCATACACGTGTGTGTGTGTGTGTTTGTGCTTGTTTTTTGTACATTTTCAAGACAAAAGTGCCCAGACTTTGAAGAGGTAAAAAGGGCTATCCTAAAGGAACAACAAAATGCTATCATTTTGTTAATGAAAGAGGACAGCTACTTCCTTTTTTGTAACTGAGGTTAGGGTTAGGGATAGGCTCAGTATTATGCTTACAAATTCTGGTAACAATTTAAGGTCGGCTCCTCAACAATTTATTAACTATTAGCAACCAATCAATAATGCAGCTAATAAATATAAACATATTATCTGTAAGCAAGCTCAGAAATGTAGTATTAATGTATTTTTATATCTAATTAATAAGGTCTTCTGAAAATGAATTATTAGCTACTCATTGACTGAGTTAAATGTTCATTAACTGTAATCAAGTATACTTGAAATATATTTATGTGACATTAAATAGGAATTCCACCAATTACAAAACAAACAAACAAACCAAAAAAAGTTGACACAGTTCAATCATTGAAATGTAAACAAAGTCGTTCAGAGTGGTTTGATGTGAAATACTGCACTGTAGAGACACTTACAGACTCTTCATAGTGGTGGTGATAGGAACCAGGGGTCACAATGTATACAGTGCAAACATAGTCATTTTATTTAGAATTCAGATCCACCAGTGAACCTACCTGAGTCTTCTGATATATGTGATGGTATGACAGAGGTAAATGTGGTAATCTCAGCCTTATTTGGGTCTATTATGTTTTTCAACACTGCATGTGCTAATGAGTATAAAGAGGTAATAATTATCTGAATTCACAATGACTAAACCTGGTAATAAATGCTAATAAAGGGTCACATTTCATACACTACAAATACTTGAACTGTTATTTTAGAGTAACTTACAGTATTTCTTTGTATTTTGGGTGCTAATGTCCATTTTAACCGTTTCTAGCCTGGAAAGCCTTTACAAATAGGTAAGGTAGTGTTTATTAAGAATGAATAAGGTCTGCTTATAATTATGGTCTTGAACATACATTAATAAAGATCTTTTAAATGTAGATAGTTCTTTGAAAGCAAGCCTGGTGATTTGTAAGAAATTACTAAGGGTAAGACTTTGATAATTATGAGTATGTTCCACTAAGTAATTTGTAAACATTTGTAAGCCCATGTTTTAACTTTCATACAATCATACAGACTGCTTTTGGTCAAGTCTACTACGTTATATGTTTTATACTTGTGTTTGACTGACTTCAGGCACTTTTCAGTGCTCAGTTCTTTTGACTTGCTTTAAAATACACTGTACATGTATTACAGGCATCGACAATTTATTATTACATAAACATGGTGGCTTACACTGTTAAACATAATAGTCAGATGACTATTATGATGACTAAATAGCTCAGATGAAAATTACATTTCTTTTAGTTAACTCAACTTGAGAACAGTTCACCCAACTCAAACTTTGGAATTTATTCTAAAGTTCTTCCAACTCCATTTTCTAGCTCTGCATCTCAGTTAAACAATATACATTAGATTTTTTTTATACTCAATTTCTCAATAGCTGGGACATTCCATCACACAATCCCATCAGACATTTTCTCCTCTTGGGTACTCACTTATGGATGGCTGTGGCATTTCTGGGATTCACACTTACAGTCTCTTGTTGGGGTGATGGCAGTGAAGTTACTCATATTTAATTTGTTTAAATGTTAAATACACTGCAGAAAATACATGTTGTTTAAACTTTGAGAAATGGCATTGTCACATGTGGTGCAGCTGTCTAAAATTTTATACCACCATCAGGAGTTTGTGAGTTTGATGCCTAGCAATGCCATAGCTGTCCATTTCTGGAAGCCCAAGAGGAGAAAATGCCTTATGGGATTGCCTTTGCTACAGAGAAATTAAGTAAAAAAGCAAGTCTATATTGTTTACCGAACTGAGATGCAGAACTAGAAAACGGGAGTTGGGTGAACTCTGGACTAAACTCTGGACTAAACCGCGAAGTTTGAGTGTCCTTAAGCTGAATTAACTCAAAAAAGCTAAGCAATCAGTTACCTTATAATTTTAAGTTGAGTTGACTCATTTTTACAATGTACTAATCCCTGTAATATTAGTTGTCATTTATTTTTGAATTCTGATAACAGGACGTGCAAAACATATTCAGAATTGTAACCCTGTGGCTAGCATTTACTACTATATGGTCATTATGAATTTAGATAATTATTACCGTTCACACTCTTTGATTAATATGTCACATAAAGACATTTCAAGCCTTTAACTAAAAGATTACAATTAATTAACATGTAACTAAACAGTTTTTAATTTCAATTAATTTATAGAAGACTTTATTAATGCATCATAGAAATACACTTGCTAAATTTCTAAGTTTGATTAAAAATGATGTGGTTCTGTTTGCCAGGGTATTAATGGGCACGCTACTCACCTTTCCTCTGAAAAACAGCAATGTTTGTAATTTAGTTTGTCTCCCTCATTATTCTCCATCTTGGCTGGAAATGGTGCCTTAAGCTTTAACGGCTTTAGGGGTCAGTTACAGCAACCAGAAAAACTTCATTATAGCAGTCAATCAAAACTCCAACAGCAGAGTTTATTCACTGTTTATTCCAGTCAACTTTGAAGAGTTTCTCTAATACACTAACATTGTGCTTATAAACTACTAGAAAAACCAGAGTGCTCCAGGAACTGTCTAGTTCAGTTATGCCATTAGACCCACTGGATGTCAACTTTGCTCACTTATGGTCTATTCCAAGTCAGTGTGATCATTGTCTCACACACAAACTAAAGTAATTTCAAAGTAATTTCCACATCGAGAAATAGAGAAAGTCATCAATAATTCAAATAATAGCATAACTATGAAGTGAAAAGAAAAATGTAATTGAAACCCAACAAAAAATGTTATGCTGTCCCGAACGTGCCACACTCTTCTGCCCCTTTCATACTGTATATGCCTATGTATCTCAGCGTTACCAGTTATTCAACACTATGTTCATATACATGCTTTCATATTCCACTGTCTGTAATCAAAGTTTCAAACCTTTTTGAAGCTGTGTTGCATTTAAAAATCCTAAACAATGCGACTTTATAATCTGCACCCATTTTGCGGGAAACTCACAAATCTTGCAACCCTGCATGGGGGAAAAAAACAGGAGTGAAACATGCATGTGGAAAATAGCACAGTTTTTCTGGTTGCCATAGAAACTATGCATGCTTAAAATATCTACTGTTTTCCAACTGTTAAATGCAGTTTCACTCTAGCAGCTGTTTTCAGATTGTTCTGTGCAGTTCTGAGATCACAATCGCAATCACTTTCTCAATCTTTGTGCTAGCATTGAGTGGACCCAATGCGCTCCATGGTTGCCACCTGTGGGCACTCCTCTACAGAGATGTGGGAAAAAGTGATATGATCAGATTAGTCATCCTTTATGTTATTCTTCACACGTGGGCGAGTGCATGTGTGATGTACACCAAAAGTAAAGCACTGGTCTAAATGCTTGACCCAACATTGAGGGGGTCCACTGGCTTTGTTATACTGTA